TATATATATATATATACATGCGAAATTATTAGACTAATTGTTTTCACAGTGTCAGGTACTAATTATTATTAAAAAAACGAAAAATAAAATAAATTAAGGTAATATTTTCTAATCAAATAAGTATTAATTTTTTTTCGATGGATATCATTGCTCTATCACCCACTACAACAAAAATTGTTTTTAACAACAATTGTTTAATGACAATAATTTAATTGTCGCTATTTAATTATATAATAAAAATATTAATGGCTAATATATAATAGCCACTAAAAGTGTATTTATATTACACTAAAGTTTACTATTAGCGACAATTATTTATTGAAAAAAACTAGTCTCAAATCGATTAGAGATAAGATAATTAAATAGTATATAAGTGAGTAATAACTATCACCTTATAAGTTGATTTATAAGGTTGAGTTAGACTCTTAATTCACTATAATAAATTAGTATCAAATCACCCACTATTACCAAGTTCAATAGTGCTATAAAACAATTAGAGAGCAACTTTCACCTTATAAATCTCACATCTCTTAAGAGATAAGATAATTAAAAAAATAAATTAAAAAATATATAAATAGAAGACAACCCTCATCTTACAAATCTCACATCGACTAGAGATAAAAAAAAGAGTATATAAGTTATGAATTTAGAAAAGAAAATTATAGGAATAAATTATTTAAAGTTTTACTAGCAAAAGATAAAAGTCACTAAATGGATGGAAAGGAGACAATTGAAAAAATAACTTTTAATAACCTTTAAAATGGCTACTAAAATTGCCACTAAAAAAATAATAGTTTTCCCGATAATTTAGTAGGTCTTTACCAACATTTTATATAAATGCCGGTAATAGTATTAGCAACACTGGATACACCAGCCATTATTTAAATGCTGGTAAAAAAAATAATGACCATTTATATGGTCGCTAAAGAATAAATTAATTGCCACAAAAACCTAATTTTAGTGTAGTGACCATTCAAATAATATGTTTTTCTTGCATGTTAAGGGGCAAACCATTGTTTCTTTTATATTTTTTTTTTTATTTTGGAAATATTAGTTTATTATGAAAAACATGTAACCAATTAACATGAAACATATATTAGTAGTAAAAGTTGGACTAATATGCACATGATTTTAAGTTCAAGTTTTATTATTATTGTTATGATTTTTATGAATAAAAAATATATATAAAGAATACAGCATATAGGATCAGATTTATAACATGGGTGTTAAATATTGTCATCAACCTTGTTTATTTGAGAGGAAACAGATATCGTCAAGACAAAAGTAGAAAGAAATGATAGCAACCAAGAAGATTTGGAACTACCTTTGTATGACTTTGATACAATAGCATGTTCCACTAATGACTTCTCAAGAGACAACAAGCTTGGACAAGGCGGTTTTGGTCCAGTATACAAAGTATGTATGCAAAATGTTTATTTAGTAGTTAAAATCAGGGTACATAGCTCAACATTCTTTTATCACTATTTATCTTTCTTGGTAAATATATTTCTTTTAAGGGCACACTACCAAATGGAAGAGATATTGCAGTTAAAAGACTTTCACAGTCATCTACACAGGGATTAATAGAATTTAAGAACGAGGTTATATTTTGTTCAAAACTTCAACATCGAAATCTTGTTAAGGTCCTTGGTTGTTGCATTGAAGAGCAAGAGAAATTACTTATCTATGAGTACATGTCTAATAAAAGCTTAGACTTCTTTCTTTTTGGTTAGTGTTTTTACTTATATAATTATTTAAAAATTCATTTAATTCTTATATTTATTGATTAATGAAGATGACATATATAAATATATAATTTTACAGATTATTCTCAAAGCAAACTTCTAGATTGGTCCAAGCGATTTAACATTATAAACGGAATTGCTAGAGGACTTCTTTACCTTCACCAAGATTCTAGATTGAGGATCATACATAGAGATTTAAAAGCAAGTAATATTTTGCTAGATGATGACATGAATCCAAAAATATCTGATTTTGGATTAGCTCGAATGTGTGGAGGTGATCAGATTGAAGGAAGTACAAGTAGAGTTGTTGGTACACAGTAAGTATCTTTACTTGTAATAATATTAAAAAAAGCATACAAATCAAATGCCAAAATAATTCAGTTGTAATGAATACTTTCAGTGGTTATATGGCACCTGAATATGCAATTGATGGAGTATTCTCCATCAAATCTGACGTATATAGCTTTGGCGTTTTACTACTCGAGGTTTTAAGCGGAAAGAAAAACAAAGGGCTTTCCTACCCTGACCGAAGCTACAATCTTATTGGACATGTGAGTAACAAAATTAATTTCAACTTTCTAGTAATCAAGTGGTTGTTAATAATTGCTATAAATTATTGTAGGCATGGAGTTTATGGAAAGAGAGCATCCCAATGGAATTCATTGATAGTTGCTTGGGAGACTCATACGTCGTATCTGAAGCCATACGTTGCATTCATATTGGTCTTTTATGTGTGCAATATCAATCTGATGATAGACCAAATATGACATCTATAATGACCATGTTAACTAGTGAAAGTGCTTTACCACAACCAAAAGAGCCACTTTTCTTAAATAAAATGGTTTCACTTGAGGAGGATTTTGGGCAAAACATGCATTATTCAACCAATGAAGTAACCATCTCAAAGTTGGAACCAAGATAAAGAAATTGTTTTATTTCTTACCAATCAGATTAATGATAAATGGGCTTTGTAATATCCTAATTGTAATATCAATCTCGAATCTTAGCATTATAGTGTCTGATAACTTCAAACATATTTGTAGCCAGTTTAGGCTCAACAAGTTCAATCACATGCACATTTCATTTTACTTATTTCTGTTGACTTATGTTTGCCAAAGCTCTTGTTTTATTGTAGTTATCTTATTGTTAACTACTTTGAGTTATTTAATTAATGTATGTTTTAAAAAAATTATTTGAATATTTTATTTATTATATTAATTAAAAATTAACAAATCATATTTTTCTTCAATTATGTTCTCAATCCTTTATTTATTTATATATAATTAATTGAACATATTTTGAACATGGTGAATGCTTTAAGTAATAAAGATAATTTTGGGGAGAAATAGTGACTTCTGGTAAAAAGTAAAACTTATAAGTATAAAGCCAAGTTAGTGAGTGTAAGACATGTGTCAAATAAGCATTAGTTAGTTAAATTCATAGGCATGAAATGCCTTATATAAAAGTAGTTAAATAGTTCTTGTGGGCATTGAGCCACTTGGCAGGCCTAAATGGGCCTATAATTATTGTCCCCAAGTTGATGTTTCTTTAATTAATAAAAGCAAAAATAGTTTAAGGATTTAATTATTCTCTAGAATAGATGCCCTAAGTTGGTACTTTGGTAAAAACAACACTAACTTAAGAGTTTAAACATTCTCTAAGATAATTTCTCCCAAATCAATATCACTATGATACTTACTCCCAAATTGATATTTTTTTGGTAAAAGCCACACTAACTTAGAGGTTAAGGCATCCTCTATGTCACAAATTCAAGTTGAGTGTTCAAGGCACGAATTGAGTTAACAAGAAATTGAACTAATTGCCCATGAGGTGAAGTCGAGTTGAACGCTCAAAGTGTTAGGTCAAGCTAAATTTTTAAGGAAGGAAGTTGAACTGGGTGTTTAAGGAAGGATGTTAAATTAAGTGTTGAAGGTGTAATGCTTATCTAATTAATTAAGGCGTTAAGATGTACTAATTGTTCAAGCAGGGAGGCCAAATTGAATTAAGGCATTAAGTTGAAACGATTGTTCAAAGCACAATATCGAGCTGAATGCCTAAAACATTAAGATGAAGTGAGTTCTAAAGGAGTGAAGTTGTCATGAATACTTTAATGTGAATTGAGTGCTAAGGCATGAATTCAAGCTAAATGCTTAAGGCATTAAGCTAAACTTAGTGCTTTCAAGATGCGAAGCTAAGTTGAATGCTTAAAGTTGAATTGAGTGCTCAAGGTGTAAAGCCGATCTAAGTGCTTAAAGCATTAAGTTGAACTAGGTTCTCAAGGCGCAAGATCAAGATGAATGCTTAAAACTGAAATCAATGCTCAAGATACAATGCCGAGCTAGACACCTTAGGTTGATCTAAGTGCTTAGGGCACGAAGACAAGGTTCTAAGTTGAGTGCTCAAAGCATAAGTATGAGTTAAGCACCCAAGACATAAAATGGAATTGATTGCTTAACACACCAAGTTACATTGAGTGCTGAAGGCATGAAGCTAGGCTAAATGCTTAAGGAATTGAGTTGAATTAAAGGCTAAAGATGCAAAGTCAAGCTAAATGCTTAAAGTTGAATTGAGTGTGCATGCACCTAAGTTGAACACTTAATAATAATATCATATTCTTCCTTGCATATTGTTATCTCGAATTGCTTTTGTTTGTGCTTCAAACCCTAATTAGCGACTTAATATTGGATCTCAGCTAGGGTGATGACTTTCTTTTGAAGCCTCATGATGTCATCTTGATACACTTTAAAAAACAAAACAAAAACAAAGAAACAAAGAAAAATGGGGTTATAAATTGCATGTGTGTCTAAAACTTTGAATTTTTTTTCAAAAGTAATTAACTATTTTCCAAATAGATAAGATCCTTCATAAATAAATGGAGAGATTGGGAGTGATTTCATACAAGTATTTTATATTGATTCACCCTATAACTTAGAATTATGTCTAATTTCTTCATAGTTGAAGGATTTCCACTACTCAAAATAAGTCTACAACTATTCTCTAACTTCTATAGGCTTTATGAAAACAATCTCAACTTGAGATCACTACAAAAATGTTGTAGTTTAGAGTAGGCCAAAATTTGACACTAAATCATAAAAATTAATGTAATATTGTCGGTTATTCATCGATTTTTTGGTTGACGTTAAATAAGTTGACACAATTTTTTTGTGACGGCTAAGCCGTCGATAATAAATTTATTTATTTTAATTTTTTATTATCGATTAAGCCGACACTACGTCGACACAATTTTTTTTTTCTTCATCTTCTTTTTTGAGCTTATCATTTATTAGTTCGTATTTTTAACATTCGTTCTAATTTTAACATTCTTGGTATTTGATCTGTGAACCTTGAAGTCTTAAGTGAACTTGATAACCAAGTGCACCACAACACATTATGCGTATATAACTTTGAAAAAATTATCTTTATCTCTTTCAAATCACGTATACTGTCGAAAAAGTCAACGTTATTTAAGATGTAGCGTCGACTTTTTTGACACTAAATTTATTTTAAGTTTGGCGTTTGAAAAACTGACGCTATTTCTTTATATATTGTTGATTTTTCTGACACTAATTTAAAGAATAGTGTTGGCTTTTCCGACACTAATTTAAAGAATAGCGTCGACTTTTCCGACAGTAAACTTAATTTAAATTTAGTGTCGAAAAAGCTGATACTACATCTTAAAATAATGTTGACTTTTTCGACAATATTTGCGTCAGCTATTAGCCGACACTTATTTTTCGTAACTATTTTAGCGTTTTCTTGTAGTGGATTGTGATAGCCAAGTACTCTTTCTTATAAAGTCTTTTCAAACTCTTTCCAACAAAGTTAGGTGCTTGAAGTGTTTAACTCACTGAGGATGAGGGTAACAATTACAAACATAGTACACTAAAAAATCACTAAAAAAATAAGTGACTTTGAGAGATCATCTAGAGATCGTTCGTGGCACCTTTTCTAGGAGTTTGAATATTAATATGTAATTTACTAATTTAATTAATTTTCTAACTATGTTCAATAATCAAAATGCGAAATATAAGTAAAGCATTTTGAAAGCGATAAAAAGATGATTGAATACATTAAAAAATTTTGTGCCTTGTCTACCGTCTAAATACATCAAAGGGGGAAAGAATAGACAGAGTAGTCATTAAATTTCTACATATCCCAAGTGTACAACCCAACCCTAGTCTATCTACAGCTAAAATTAATCCTTGTAAGGATTCCTCCTCGTCTTCTTCTACAATATTGTCACCCTCACCGTTGGAAAAACAAACTTCCGATCTATTCCAATAACGGAAAAAGAAATCTACGTTGTGTGACAGGGTCAAACCATTGGAACGTAGAGTCATGGAGTTGAAGTAGAGGAATGGGACTTGGGAACTCTTACATAGCCTGGAGCAGGCAACTAGGTCAGAATCACAAGTAGATCTGCATGTCCGAGTCGTACGTGCGGTTCACTAGCTACTAACATAAAGGAAGAACATAGGGTGTCATGGAAAGTGGCATCCTCAATTAGAGAGTCGTGGACCTAATGGCCCTCTAAAATATTGATCGCAAGTCGAAGTATTGGCTAATAACATACCTCCATCGTCGCGTTTGAAACAAAATATAATAATGGGAGTGAGTTTCTCCATTCTCCTATAGGCTACATAGTACATACCAGAATACGTGAAACTTTCGGTTCAACAAACATATATACTAACCACTTTGCAGTGGGTCTAATCATGGACGCCACTCATAGGGTAATCCTAACAATTCATCTAAGTTTCATTCTCACTTTTGGCTCCTAATGCCTCTTGATCTCCTAGGTCACATAGGACTTGCGATAAGAATCATATCAACTGATGGTTGTACGTACATGGTACTCACATCAAGATGCTCTTGGTACGTATAAATGTGTTTAAGACATTTGTATTATATCACAATAGTAATAATAAATAGAGTTGTGATATCAAATTAAAACAACTAGATTCAAACAATTATCAACTCAATTAATTATGATTTTTAATAGTTTGAAGAAATAAATTTCGATATCTAAGAATGTGATAGAAAATAACAAAGTAAAAAATAAGAAACATTATTGAAATTAAGAGGTTAAAATCTTAGAGTTATAATTTATTAACCTTGATCCATCAATATAAATTGCAAGAGAATTCTTAGACCTTTGCCGTCAATTTTTCTTCTAAAATTGTTTACAATCATTGTTCAAGGAAGTTACTCATCTTTACCTTTAGAAAAACCCTAAATTGCTTGTAAAGAGTTATCTCAATGCAAAGTGTATAGAAATATAGAAATGAATTAATAAATTAATTCAATTGAGAACTAAGAAAATCAATTTGATCATTCAAATTCTTATAGTTTAATTATTTTAGGGTTTTGTTAACCAAAAAAATTAATTAATAGAGGCAAGGCTAAAAAATACTAAAATAATACAATAATTAATAAAAAATAATTCATTTAATTTATCATAGGTAATTCATAAGGAACAATTACATCACAACTTTAGAAGATAAAATCTAGCTAAACATGGTGGATAAACAACCCAACATTATGCTAGAATTCATAAAACAAGGGAAAGGAATCAATTGTAGGGGAAATCCTTCTTTGAGGGTTTGACTTTTAGCTTCTTATAAACCTCAATGGAGAACAAAAAAAAAATTCTAAAGACTATAGACAAAAAGAATATGATAAAAAAAAGTGGTTGGACATCCCTATTTATACCTAAAAAAAATTAGGCAACCTTTTAAGCATGAGCGTGTAAATCAACTAGCATGATTATGCATTGCAACATCAGGTTGCATCCTTCACATAGTTTTAAAAATCAGACCGATCATCAAACCTGTTAGTGGGTTATTAATTGAATCACATAACTCAATTTTTATTAATTTTTTTTAAAAATATTCATATTAAATATATTTTATACTTATAAATTTTATTAAATTCATATCCTATTTTAAATTTTAATTTTCATCTTATTTAAAATTATCTTTATTTTTATTTTGTATAAAGAAATACATAAAAAAAATTACATGTTAAACTGTAAATTAATACAAATTAAAAATATAAATAATATGTACATATATAATATGCTTGCAATTGATGTCGCAAAATAAAATATGTAATATCTACATAGATATTATATTATTAAATATATAATTTAAAATTAATAATAAGCTATAAAAGTTATTTAAGTTGCATATATTACAAATAAATACATTAGAACAAGTAGTCATTGTTATATTTAATAAGACTTTTTGTTCTACCATTAAAAGATTCAATTCTCATTGTTATTTTTGTGGTTTGTAGTCCCTTAAGAAAAATAAAAAAATTTGTGGTTGAACCGGTTTGGCCCACTGGTTCATTGGTCGGACTGGAAAATTGATGGTTCAATCCAGTTTGAAACGGGTCAAATGCATAACTGATCCAACTTAAGGTTCGGACTGGCTGGACCACCGGTTCCCGGTTCAACCCGTCCGACTCGCCGGTTCGATCCAATTTTTAAAACACTGATCCTTCAAACTAGAGGGTGTTTGATAATTGTCAAATATGTCAATATCTTTTATTAAATTTAGACAATTATATAGCATATCTTATGCTTTAGAATCCTATTTTTGCAAAAAAATTTGGTATTTTTAATTTTATCTGTTAATTAGTACAATTTTGGTATTTTAATTTTAATTTAAAAAAGTTTTTGAAATCTTTCACTTAAGTGTTGAGATTTCCGTTGAAATACTTTTGTTAATATTTGTAAATTCGTTTAATTCTATCAACGGTCTCAAACACGGCAAGTATACCGGCCGTTCAAGTAGTAAAAATATCGTATCCACAGGGATTAGAAGGTAATATAAGCATTTATTGACTATTCGTGACTAAAGAATAATTCCAATTTCATAGTTTGTGCAGTGAATTCAAAGTTGTGACTATTGGAATGAAAGCTGTAAATAAATATTGTTTTGTGAGTGGAAAAGGTAAGGAATGGTATTGTGGTATTGTGAGGTTGTGGGGGTCAGATTTCACCAAACGTAACACTAATGTATCCTTAATCTCTTGTTGAATTCATTGCTTAGTCAACCCATAAGTTTACTCAAACCTAATCCCTTAGAGAAAGAGCCTAGGTGCGGATATTGAATATCAATCCCTTGAGTACCCAATATCTACACCCGCATTACGGGCTAGGGTTTAAGACTACTAATGGGTCAAGCTCTATCCCTAGATACAATCACCACTAGGCATATGTTTCAGAACTAGTTTCAAAGGTTATTTTCCAATACCCATGGAACCTTAAATCATGCAAAGGGTGATCAATCCAAAGCAAGCATTAAGAATAGAAACAAACACAACAACGAATAAAACAACATGTATATATATCATTAAAACCGTAAAGATTACAATAGAGTACGTTGGTTACATCTAACCCCACAAAATGGGTGAAACCACTCAACAAAGAGGGCAAATACAAAATAGAGATGGAAGAGGAAGTGAAGAACCGAAGGAAAGATCCGCACACGGACGATCCCAAGCCCTGGGAATCCCTTCCGCAGCTCCTGGAGGCGCCCAATGTGAGAATGGAGAGAAAGATCCCCGAAAATGGCTTCAAATACGAGCCTGGGAGATCAGATTAGGGTTCCGCGCCCGGCGCACAATTCTTCGCGCCCGGCGCAAGTTCTTCCAGAGAAGTCAAGCACTCTCTGTCTCAACACAAGTCCGGCGCAATTCCTTTTGCGCCCGGCTTAATTCCTTTTGCGCCCGGCTTAATTCCTTTTGCGCCCGGCGCAATATAACTGGCAGAGATGAAATACTCTGTTTTTGTCACGCCCAGCGCGGGTTATATTGAGCCCGGCGCAGAACCTCTTCTCTGCTCCTTAGCTTCTTAGGTTTCCAATCCTAAGAGTCTTCAATCCTCAAGTCACTAGCTCAATACCTGCACAAAAATGAGGTGTATTAAGGTATTGTTAGCTGAATTTGGGTTAGTTATATCTGCATACAAAATGAACCAAAAAGAGAACAATTATATTGCAATGGTTCAAAGGATGAGTGGAATTTGTTCAATAAGTCTCATCCAAAAAGAGGTAAAATTGAGACTTAACATTAAGCAAGATAGTATACAATTGTTGTTGATAGTAAATTGAACAAAAGTTATAACTCCTGAGTTATAATTCTTTAATGAAATTTTGGTACTAAACAAATGATTTAGTTAAAAACTTACAATTGTTCAACAAGAAATATTATATTTAGTAAAAAATAAAATAAAGCAGTAAATTGTGAAAAGTTTAAATTTATAATGAGAATAGTCATAAATTGATTCACCAACTTTCTCAACGCAAATCCTTTTAAATTTTCACTCAATATTGAAATTACACGGTTAATTTGACAACCTAGAATTATATTTAAACCTTAATTTCTTAGGCGAGAAATTATAGGTTGTTTAAGGAAAATCTTAATCCCTTGGTAATTTTTTGCTAAGCAACACATTAAGGTCAACAACAAAAAGTTGATTGATAAGGTTTATCCTATTCCTAATAATAAACCTTATTAGTGTTTTATCTAGTTCGTAGTTTCAAAGAGTTTCCCAACTCAATTAAAAATTATAAAATCAAGCAAAGGTTGATTAGGTAACAAAAAGCATTAAGCATAAGAATAAAATGGTTAACTAAATAAAGACTTTAAAGAATGAAGAACACAGATAATTTACATAAGTACAATAGCTACCTCAATCTCCAACAATAGAGAACTCAACCACTCATGACTAAGGATTAGATAAAAGAAAAGGAGTTTTTGACTGTCCCATGATTACAAGATGCTCTCACAAGAATTCTCTATAATCTCTTTAAAATTGTGCTAAGAAAGTATTGATACACAAATCTCCTAGAGATCCTATTTTATAACATTTTCTAATGGGCTTTTAGGTAAGATATGCGAGCTACATGTGCTTGCTTTAAGCGCCCATGTAGCTTATTCTAAGTGATCTTATGCGATCTTCTAAGAGTATTTTCTGTTATTTATGACTCACCTAGAGCGCTCTTATGGTGGGTTTGAGCGAATTTTGCTCACTCAAAATGCCCATGTAGCTTACTTTGAGACATCTTGTGTGCTCCACTAGAGGTACTATCTGACTACACTCGCTCATAAAGCTCTCTTTGTGGTGGCTCTAAGCAAATTTCAATCACTTTGACCGAGTACTCTCACTTTAAGTGAGCTAGTATCATCTCCAGGGACTACTCTCTAACTTAGTTTGCTTCAAGTTGAGATTTGGTCACTCTAAGTGAATTTTATTAGTTCAAAGCGGTCTTCTATGTAGCTTGGAGCCATGGTTCCCCTTTGAGACTTGTAGCTTTCCAATTATTTTCTCCATGTGTTGTATCTCAACAATAAAAAATATTAAAATTACTTAATATCTAAACAATTAAATCCTAAAATAACATTAATTAATTCTTGACTAAGTGTTTTGTGATGAAAAAAAAAGATTTAGAAGCATAAAATATATATTAATAATTTTATAAATTGAATAAAAGTTATATGTATATCTAGTAATTATCAATGTTTGATCAACTGGGGAGAAAAAAAAATTGCTCGCTCAAAGCTATTTAATTTTTTGCTTTGAGCTAGCACTTCGCTTAGAGCTATCATCAATTTTCGCTCAAAGTAAAAGTATTTGCTCAAGCTACCTCAACTTTCACTCTAAGCTAGTGCCTTGCTTGAAGCTATCATCAATTTTTGCTCTAAGCAAGAGTACTTGCTCAGAGCTACCTCAATTTTCACTATGAGCTAGCACCTTCCTTGGAGATGCCAACAATTTTCATTTTAAGCAAGCACGAAAAAATTGTACTCACTTGTAGGTATCTCCACTATTACTTTAAGCTAGCACTTCACTCGAAGCTACCATTAATATTCATTTTGAGCAAGCATAAAAAATTTCTAACTTCTTTTTAGAGTATGCAGTGGCATGGCCAACAAACTTTAGGGACTAGTAGGTTGTTAGCTAAGGAGCACTAAAAAAATGTGTGATTTGGGGCGGTTAAAACCCGCCACAAATGGCATTACCAGCATCATTAATAATCGTCGGTCCACGCCAGAAAATTCAATTACTTTGTGGAGGTTTTAAACTGCTACAAAATGCATTTTAATGTTACTTGCTTTACAGTTTCTGGCGGTTTTAAACTGCCACAAAATCCATCTAAAATTTGCTTCATTCAACATTTCTGGCGGTTTTAAACCGCCACAAATAAATGAGAATACTGAAATGGTACACACACATAACTCCATCAAGTGCAAAAGTGATTTCATCCTATGAGAGAGAATATCAAAATCAATTTGACTAATGAGTTACTTATCATATGCTCTAAAACAACGACAGTCATTTTCCCATAAGAAACGCACGCTTACAACAAATATCAGAGATTGAAGTGACTACGACTACGACTATTAATCAGAAACTACACACATACAATATCGGTATTTATTTATTGAAAGACAGAGTATCACCTTCCCATATAAAGAAACATGAAATTTCTTTGAATCCTCCAACTGAGACATCTCATCCAGGATACCACTGATGGTATTTATCAAATCCGGTGAACTAACAACGTGAAGGAACCTAAAGAAAAATAATACTAGAGCTAGTAAGGATTTCCTATAAATAAACACAATTCACAAAGGAAAATTAAATGAACCATTATTTGATAGAAACCTCTTAACAGTTGCTTTTGAAAACCATTCAGCCCCATGCAGATTTTCTGGTAATTTAAGAACAAAGTTTGCATCAAACCCTTCAGCACACAAATCATTTATTGCAGGTAAATGAGGCAACAAATGTTCCAAATATCAAGTTGCCACTTTATCGAATTGTTTCCCTTTTTAGACAAATGCCTCGTACCTATCCCACCACTGTGGAGAGAAATATGTAAATAAGCAGGAAAAACAAAATGTATAACATTAACATGAGGAACAGATTCAACATAAACTACTCTGTGTACAACTGAATGTACTGAAGAAAGAACAACCTAGCAAAGGAAAACATAATAACTCTAATAGATTAGATAAACACAATAGTGCATCACTGATATATTAGAACAATCCTGCTTCTAAGATGTAACGACATATGTCAGACAACAACTACACTAGTGTTAGGACAACTCTAAAATCATTATATTCTTCAATTTCATAACATTTTTTAGAAAGAAAAAAAATCGCATTAGAAATTTAAGTAAAAATCAGCAAAAAATGATGCAGGATAATTAATGATATCATCTATTATTAAGATTTGAAAGGAATAATAGCTCATGTTTTATTTTATAGGTCTTTTTTAGCCTCGGTGAAAAATGATAAAACCCTTTTCAATGATGGGATTGGAGCTAGAGGTGGAACTGAAATAAGGAATTTTCACTGGGATATTTCATTTTCTGATTAGGACTCAATTTTACTTATTGAATTCTAAAATCACTAAGAGTAGCTTCCTCACAAGTCAATTAATTGTGTTGGCTAAGGATTGAAAAGAAATTCAGTTTTTACATGTTAATTTTACATTTATTTAAAAATGTCACCTTATTTTCAATTTTCTTTCCTTTTTTCAAAAGTTTTTATAAGAATTAATGAAAAAAAATAATAAGTTATTTTCAATGTTCCTATACAAATTTCTCAAATCAAACTTGCTTACTATGTTATAAACATGCATCAACATATGTTTTCTGATGGGAACACAACCAAGATTCTTCTGGCTTGTTATGCAAATAGAAACAGTTATATAGAACAAAGCAAGAATATGTCTGAATTTGGAAGGCCTCTATTGGCCAGGATCAACTATTTTTCCTTCAGCAGGGTCATTTATGCCTCAGCAATATAAAGAAGTTGCTTACTCATATGCATGCTCAATCTCTTGTTTCCCTGTTGAAACCGGTTGGTAATCTTTGAACCTCTCACATACATTAAGTGGAACCTGCACAATGAAAATACATTAGACTGAAATTATGATAACCTCTTTAGCAAGGATAAAATGTACAATATTAAGATGGTTCTTACTTTCAGGATCTTCTTCTCAAATATGTCAAACTTGTTTAAGAATAACATGAAGGATGTTTTCTGTGTATGGAAAAGAGAAGGACATTATTATTTTCTGAGATGAGAAGAAATCTTAACTGTGAAAAATATAAAGCTTTCAGAAGCAGGTATCTTATAACAGAACCAGAGAAAGAAAAAGCTGACATAAGAATTTTTCACATAATTGTAGTAGAAGTTAAAGTTAATAAAGACTAAAAAAAATAAACCTCAAAACATGGTTGCTTCAGGACCCACTCGAAAAGTTCCTTAGTCTCCATCATTTTGTTTATGTTTTCATCCTCAAAAAGTGTTTGATCATACCTGAAGGCAAGTGTGATTCAATACAATTTTAGCTTTGAACATTTTATAATTATGACGCTCTCTTGCCAGCAACATTGAAAGGATACAAGAGTTAATTAATCCACTCAAATGTCCTAGCACAAAAATATTTATGTATTCCAACATTTTTATTATTAGTAGTAACTAAACTAAACATACACAGTGGCAAGACTACAAGGAGCTCAACCTTCACTTTTGAGTAAAACCTGTATAAAATAAACTACTGAAGAAGTGTCAAACAGAAAAAGTAATAATCTTATAAAAACCTTAAATCACTAAACAAAACAACTTTCACATGATTTCTTTCATCATGATTAAGTAAATTGTCAATAATCTTATAAATTTATGAATATGTTAGTGTCACAGTAACAAAGAAAGCACAGTAACTAATCGCATGACTGTGAAATGAAAGTGTAACTGTGCCACCAAAGTAGAAATTACCATGGTAGTAGTTGAGAATCCCTCACTCTCTCCGGCATCTAGCCCCACCGCAAAATCCTCAACAGCTTCACCACCTTCTGGTAATCCACCGAAATCGCTAGCTCTGACGACTGGTTCCGCCGCAGAACGGAGGCACTCGGCGACGGTGTTGACGCGCTAAAGAGAACGCACTTGGCAAAACGAATGAGGCCGATCAACGTGACGAGGTCCGTTTTGGATTGTTCCCCGCTCCCATTGATAATCTCTTTCTCGAGGCTCTCAATCTCTGCTGTGCAACTGGACGCGTCGCGAATCTCTAGTTTGTCAAAAATCAAAGAGAGATGCGCTTGATCGGGAACGATCTCGTGCTTGATCTGGTTGTTTGGGTGGAGTTCTTGGAGAGGGAAAACATCGAGGAGCGTGGAGATTTCTCCGGTGCGCCTGTGGAAGGTGTCGGCGACGGTTTCGATTTGCACGAGCAGATTGAACTTACTTTTTCCATTGAAGTAATCTTCAATTAGCGTTTTGATCTTGTGGAGAACGATGTACATTTTCTCGGGGCAGAGGATCAAAGAGTAGGGGAACAAAACGGAGTTGGAGCTGTGTTTTGCGAATGGCAGAGGAGGAAAATGGCGGTGTTGGTGAGGGAACATATTTGATCCGTGAGTTGAAGCAAAGACTAACTCATGTGCCCTGTTTTTTATTATTATTTTGAATTAAGTCTAAACTTTTTTTTTTTTTTTTTTTTTAATAAAAATATTTCAATTAAATTGACTGGTAAACACTGTGGCGGTTTTAACCGCCAAAAAAATTTAATTATTTGTGGACTTAAAATAACTCCCAAAATTATTACATTTTTGGCGGTTTTTAAAAACCGCAAAAAAAAAAAAACCGTCAATAATTACTTGATTTTTTGTAGTGGAGGAGGTGAAGCTACAATTGAGTAAAACTCTAACTTAGAGGATTCATAGCCTATTTGAGAGGCCAAAATTTCTTCTCTTAATTATCTTAGTACTTTATTTTAGTATTATTTTCTAAGTTATTCTATTTTGATGTGTTGTTCTCTGTTTGTGATTGTTGGACTGAAAATGAGAGTCTAATATTGAACAATATTATTATCTGTTAATCAACAAGAGACTCTATATTTGGTAAAAGTTGATTCTTATGTGTTTTGATTATAGAAAAATAATGAATTCCTTGGTAGTCTGACTTCATTATAAACCAAAAATGATTTTAGTGATCTTTGGTCACTTGTGTTGTCATGTAGTTGTTTTGAAAATGAAAGATAAAGAGAAAATTTGAATTGGATGGTAATTGATATGTTAATAGAGATAACCCTTTTGATTACACTTGAATCACAAATGAAGAGAGTAAGCATATTGAAAATCCATAACAGTGTCAAGATAGCTAGTCTCTTTGTAATTTCTTCATGCATTTCTTAGTGTGGATATGATATAATTACCATGGTGGATGATGTGATTGTTTGGATAATTAGAAAAAGAATCCTTAATTGATGAGATTTGTTCAACTTAAGTTTTTCAAAAATATGTTTAGTTTTATAGAATGGAAACTATGCTTGGTTTATGTTTGCTTAGTGTAATATTCTGAATTTATAATATTATATTATATATATAAAAAAAATATTTCTTTTTAAATTTTATTTATCCTATTTAAAATAAATAAATTTGGTGGTACTATTAGTTTTTTAGATAGTTACAATTTACATTTTTAGAATAAT